TCGCTATTTTACACCACGGCCATGTACCCATTTGTTGGCCAGTCAGAAGCCCGCACTACATTGTCTCGCGTCTCCCTACCGCGAAAGCCCAGGAATTCCCCGCGGGTGCGCTCAGATCCAGCCCTACTTACTGCGAGTCTTGTTTGCTCAGCAGAGAGGGTCAGTGCCTCCGTCTTCTCCAAACATCTCCTCTCTGCCCTGCAGTCAGAAAGAACTTTCAAATATTCTATTGTGACCATATCACGCTGCTTAAATCCTTTAAACTATCGCTTCCCTGGCGAGGCAAACCCTGAAGGGAATCTCGGCATCAGATCTGCGCTCCCTGCGGCCCGCTTCCACTACCCGATTCCTTCCTCCCCGCAGCGCTTCCCCTCCCCCGTCACTCTTATCCCGACCCCGACCCGACCTAAACCGCGGCCGAGCCGGCTTGCGGACTGCGCCCCCGCGACCAGGGCCCCTCCTTCCCCGCGCCGGCTTCCGCGTCCCCCCACGTGGAAACTCGAGTCCTGAGGGGTTGGGGGGGCCCAGACAGTGAGAAGCGCGCGCACACGCCTACGCGAAGGTTCAAACTAGGGGTCGGGGTTCGGAGGGCGCTGCCAGGACGGAGGCTCTCCGGGGAAGCGGGAGCGATTCCTCTAACCGGACCACTGTCGTGGTCAGCGCGCTCACCCGGGCGGCCTCAGTTGCCGACGCCACCGCCCCGCGCTCTGGGGTCAGGAGGAGAGGCTGGGGCCGCCACGTCCAGAACGACGCACTCCACACTTCAGAGAGACCATAGGTGGGGGAGCGCGCGCAGCCAGTTTAACGGTTCGCGCCTCTCTAGCCCCGCCCCTCGAGCACCGCCCCGGTCCTCTGGCCCCGCCCCTCGATCCTGTGCCGCTCCTCCAGACGCGTCCGCCCAGCCCCTCTTGCCCGGCCCCGCCCCTCTGGCCCCGCCCCTCGATCACGCTCATCTCCAGCCGCGTCCGCCCCGCCCCTCTGGCCCCGCCCCTCGAGCCCCGCCCCGCCCCGCCCCCGGAGCGCTGAGCGACGAGCTTGTTCCTAGCCGGCACTGGGCTCGCAGTCGCCGGGTCTGGGCTGAGCGCCTCGACGCGGTCGCCCAGAAGCGCTCTCGGACCTTGAGGCGGTAGGCGGCGGGAGGAGGAGTACGAGGAGGCTCTAGGGGCGGGGAGCAGCCGAAGAGCTGTAGGGCGGGGCGCGCCCCGAGGCAGTGGCCGAGCTGGGACCGGGAGCCGCCTCTGTCACGACCCCGGCGGGTGGCGGGCTGGTTTCACGGGTTTTCCCGCTGGCTGTGTGGTGACAGGTGTTGTAGGCGATGCGACGACGGAAGGGATAAGGGAGCGCGGCCGCACACACCTGTCGCCTGGACCCGCTTGTCCCAACCGGTTAGTCCTACTTGTAGGGAAAGTTGCTTCAAGAAAAACGTGCGGGGCTGGAAGTTGTGAAAGAAGGCAGAAGATGACAGAACGCTGAGCTTTTGATGTTTAACAGTAATTTTCCTATTGGAGCCATCAGATTTGTGGAATGACTACCTCTAAAATCGTAACGGTTCACCTCTGGTTCTGAATTTCTTTTGTTATTTTTCGTCTATCGCTTTTTTCAGTCCTTTAGTTACAAGCAATACCGTTTGTTTCTAAGGACTATTAACCTTTGTAAATGTAGTTATTTTGAGGTTGGGAATTGAGATTAAATCTAATTGAGTCATTGTAAGGAAATTACACAAGGTAAATTAAGATGATCTTATTTTTTCATTGCAGCAGAACTGCCAGCCCTTTCCAAAGTTTAGACTGATGTACTGATTTTACCTATCTGGTGGTGCTGGGGATCCAGCCTAGGGCCTTGGACAACCTAGCCAACGCCCTACCACTGTACTGTACCCCCAGCCTGAAAAGTTTAGAATTTAAATTGGTGATATTCAGCAGAGGATCTAGCGTCTAAAAACAGCACATAGTATGTTTCTCATGTTGTGACCTATTTATGGCAATATATTGTATCTGTAGGATGAGGAAAACATAATTCTGTATTTTAATATTCTAAGAAAAAATGTAAATTGAGAAAATGGAAAGTATTGGTGTGTAAAACTTATCTAACGAGGCTTTATCCATAAATGTGTCTTCTCACAGTTTTTTTTTTAATTCATATATGTAATGCCTATTTGGAATACTAGATAGTCTGATGCCTTACCAACCAGGTAATTTTAAAGCAAAGACAAGCTTTGTAATCAGATCTTCACCGGGCATTAATTTAGCTACGTGGATTTAAGTTTGTCTCCCATTTTCCTGAGTCTAAGGTTTGTCATTGTGAAGTCCAATGAATAGTTTCTCCAACAGTTAATGTATGGCTGAAGTTCAAAGACACATGTGTAAATACTGCATTGTTTCTCTGGTGTGAGAAACTGAAAGTGTAAATAAGGACCAAAATTTGTAATAGGTATTGGGGAAAAAGGAAGAAAATGTTCAAATAGGGAGAGGAACAAGGGAAAAGGGAGGAGGGGAAAAAA